TTATTATGTGTCTTGGTGTAACTCTCTTTGGGTTTATCTTATTTGGAACTCTTCTGACTTCCTGGATCTTGATGTCTGTTTCCTTCCCTAGGTTAGGGAAGTTTTCAGCCCCCTTTTCTCTTTTCTTCTTCTGGAATCCCTATAATACAAATTCTGTTCTTCTTCTTGTTGTCTTAGAAGTCCCTTACGTTATCTTCATTTTCTTAATCTTTTTTTCTTTTTGCTCCTCTGTATGATTTCCATTGCTTTATCTTCCAGCTCTCTGATCCACTCCCGTTCTTCATCCATTCTGTTACTGAGCCCCTCTAGTGTATTTTTCAGTTTAGTTGTTACATTCTTCAGCTCTGTTACTTTTGTTTGGTACTCTCTTATGTTTTCTGTTTCTTTGTTGTAGTTCTCGCTGTGTTCACCCAGTCTTCTTCCAGTTTTGGTGAGAATTGTTATGATCATTGCTTTGAATTATTCATCAGGTAGATTACTAGCTCCGTATCCTTAGGGTCTTTTTCTGAGGTTTTGTCTTTTTTTGTTTGTTTGGAACATATTTCTATTTCCTTATTTTGCTTGACTCTCTGTATTTGTTCCTATGTATTAGGTGAAACAGCTATATCTCTCATTCTTGAAGGAATAACCTCATGTGATGATACATCTTATTCAAGCTTACCCTAGCTCTTAGATGTCTCTTGAACCTTTGTGATTGTCAAAGCCACCTGATTTATTTGCTATGCTCCGATTATTGAGGGTATACCAAGACCTGTCAGTGATCAAGGGAAGAAATCTCACTGAGCACTTAGTTTCAGGCTGCTAAGAAACCAAACCCTCAGGCAGCAGCTTTTTAAGTATGTGAATATGTACAGTTCTGTGGGGCCAGTCATAATCCCTGCTCGCCCCCAGACCAAGAGATACAGACTTATTCCCTGTGTGAAAGTGACATCAATCAGGGCTACAGATGAATGTCTTTGCTCATTTTATGCTTCATTCTGTGAAGTCTTGTTGAGCTCCATTCTGGAAAGTTTTGTTGAGCTGTAGTGAGTCCAAGGGAGTGAGTGCTCAAGGATGCTATCTTCCTGCTTACATTTCCTGGGAAGCTTCTCCTTAACCTCTATATGTGTGAGAAACCTGAAGCTTGTCCCCTAAACAGAAGCTCCAGGCTATGTAAATAGTTCTTTTTAGCAGGGTTTTTCTTTTTCAGTCTGCTGTCTGTTCCCTACCCTGGGAGTGGGGTCCTGCCAAGAGTTGTCTTTCCCATTGTTGCAGGTCCTTGGAGCTCTAGAATGCCAGTCTTCTTGGCCATTAGAGCCAGTTGTTCTTGGAGTGTCCGTATGTGATTTGCACATACCCACTGGCTTTAGCGAAGTAGTGTAGAGGTTGGGGTGTGTTTGCCAGCTTAGAAAGGAGACAAGAAAAGCTCTTGACTCTGTGCTTCCCATGGGCTTCAGCAGTGCAGTGGGAAAGTGCCTTGTCTGTGTGGGCATGCAAGCTTTATGCTGAGAGCTGAAAAATGCTGTGACTGCTTGTGTTCACCAGCTCCAGCCATAAGTGTGGCAGCCACCCACACTTGCAGAGTTTAGCTATAGAGTGGGATAACTCCACAACCATTTGTGCTTATCCACCCCAGCCAGGGATTAGGAGATTGTTGAAATTGCCTGTACTCTCTGGCCTCAGTAGGTGCCATGAGCACTTGTCCCTCCCCTTCCCAGCAAGTGGCAGGAGGGTGCTACATCTGAGCTCACATGTCTGGGTTTGTAGGCTATGTGGAGAGTACAACAGTAACACCTGCCGGTGCTTCCATCTCCAGTGGCCTTTCAGCTGTCCCCTGCCTCTCCAGTTAATGCTTCCAGATCAGCAAATGAATCTCCCTCACATTGTCTAGCATTTTTTTGAACTTCTGTGTTTTTGCTGGGTCTTGGGGTGGGGAATACCACACATGAGCCTTCTAAGAGGAGAATCTCAGTTTCCTATAGCACTTTGGGAGCCCCAGATGTCAGCACTGTTTTCCAGGCCACATGATCTGGGTTCTCATCTCTCTGGTGCAGATCCCAGGAGCCAGAGTTCCAATGTCATGACACCAACCTCACTCCTCCAGGAGAAAACACCTGTCTGGTGAGATCCCTCCCTATTGTGTGTTCAGACCTGGGGGTGGGGATTTTTGTAAGACATTTATTTCCCTCTCCTACCCATTTCTATGTAGTCCTTTTTCTACTTTTTATTGAGAGCAGGTTCATCTATCTGTTTCAGAAGGAAATGACCCATATGTAGCTGTAGGTTTGTTGTGTCCAAAGCAGGAAATGAGTTTAGGATCTTCCTATACTGTCATCTTGGATACCCCGCCTTCATCTTTAAGTGAAAGAGTTTTTTGCTATAAACCCTTCCTTTCAGGTTTTAAAAGTAGAGGCAACCCTGATTTACACATGCATTGTTTCAGAATTGTTCATAAGTCTGTTTAGAACTCAGAACATTTTTCCATAGAAAAATTTCTTAAATAGTGGTGGAACTAGCTCTCAATAGGAGTTAATCCATTATGTGACTGTTCCTGTTCCTTTTACAGTAAAAGATGTTTTAACTAATCAATGTTGATTCTCTCTGGGGAACAGGGAGATGACATTCTAGAGCAGCATGTTGGGGGTTTTCCTTTCTATGTTATTTCTTAGGTTGGGTAGTGATGACACGTGTATTCATTATATTGTTTTCTGAGCTTTTTATGTGCCTGAAATAGTTTATAATTTTAACAGTGCTATTTTAGTACTAGAATTTCAGTTGGAATATGAACATTTAAAAATTATTTACTTTGAATGCTGATGCTTAAAGAAAAAAAATGGGTCAATTAGAGAAGGCTAAAGAGATAGCTAGAAATTCTGACATGGTTTTATGGATCTTTTCAATAGCTTAGATTTTATGGTAAATTGTGTTTATTTTGAAAATATCACTTCAGAGCATATGTTTTAACTGTTAATTTAAGTGTATTACCAACTTAATCCATCGTTTACCTATTTGTCATATATAGGAATAGTTTTGAGAGGAAAGAAGAGGTGGATAGTCATTTACTTGAGATACCTGGGCAAATTATGAAAGTCAAAGAAGAGTAAATTGTGTATGCTTGTGCACTACTTTCCTTGATGTGCAGTTTCTTGAACTAGGGGCTTATGAAAAACAGGAAAATGAGGAGTTAAAGCTTGTATAAGGTCTGAGTATTGGAGAAAAGCAGTGAGGAACACAAACTGAGTTAAGCACTAGAAAGTCATCATGACAGTGGATGGTTTGTAGAGGTTTGAGGATAAATGGAATGGTGTAGGAGCTTGGTTTTGGCAAGACAGTATACAAACAACCATTGGTATGGTTATGGGTTGAGTTTGTTGTCCTCGGTTCTTGTCCCCTCTGCAACAAAGAATTGAAAGGCTGAGACACAGTAGCAAAGTAGAGTGAAAGTTATATTTGAATACACTCCAAGGGAGGAGCTGGGCAGAGTCAAGGTAGACAAAGGCCCCAATCTGTTAGGTGGGAGGCTTATATATTGCATTCTGGTTAAGAGGCCCCTCTTTGATTGACAAGGTGGATGCTATTTGATTTATGGGTTTTTCTGTACAGTCATCCCTTTCAGTGAGCTTGTCCTTTCCCCATGCTGAGGTGTGATTTGGCCATTTCTTAGTTCTGTTTGTTGAGATCTGGCTGGGGAGGAAGTTACATCTCCCTGCAAAGCCTTTGTTGTCTCCACATGGGACCCCCTACCTGGGCAGAGTTTGGATGGCTTTTCCTTTGAACTTTATCTGGGGTGTCTTCTTTGAGCCTTATATTCCCCTCCTCCAGCTGCTCATGTCTATCTTTCCACTTAACATTCCTAACAGTATTTTGACATTTTTGTAATTCATGGAATGCATTATATATCTATAAATATACACAGGCAGAAATCAACTACTGTTAATTACATTTTGGAAAATGAGTTAATTTTCTCAGTAATTTGGTCAGTTTTTTTAATGTGTGGAGATAGGTTTTTTGATTGATTTTATTTTTGCTGTTTTTGCATTGTACAACACTGACTTTTATGTTCAGACAGTAATCCATTTGTACAACTCATTAATAGCTTCAGGAAAGCTTATGAGTTACCTGCCTTTTGAGAGAAACTAGATCTAAGAAGCAAGTTTTTTCCTCACTAAATGAATGGTATATTTCAGAAAGATGTGTGTCCATTTTAGAGATTTCTATCTGGTATTGCTATGAAGAGGTTCTTTATTCTGCCTCCTTCCATCTCCACTTTTGGAACATTATCAAGACAAAAGAATGGCTTAGGAATCTTTCATTGGAGTCCCTCAGTTAGTTACATAGAAGTGTTTGGCAAAACTGATCTTATGGCCAGTATCTAAAGTTAGCATTGAGATTAAGACTACGAAGGAATAGACACAAGATAGAACAAGAAAATTTAGTAAAGGTAGGAGTGTTTGAAAAGAGCATAAAAGCCATTTAAAAAATCGAGAAGAGACTCATGGTCACTAAAGGGGAAGGGGTGAGGAGGGAGAAGGGGATTAGGGGTGCTATCACAACATAGGTAGGTCACTGGGATGGTAGTACATCACAGATAATACAATTAATGACTATAACATCTTACTATGTTGATAGACAGTGACAGCAATGGAGGGGGTGAGGTTTTGATAATATGGGTGAATGTTGAACCACTGCTTTGTATATGTGAAACCATCATAAGATTGTATATCAATGATACTTTAATAATAAATAAATAAATGGAGTTGAAGACCTTGAAGGCTTTAAGAAACAAATGCAGAGATACCTAGAGAGAAAGAGGGCAAAAAGAAAATACAGATTGACCCAAGTAATATGATTTACTTTATACATTTTATTTTTTATTTTTTATCTTTTTCAGTATGTATTAAGCATAACCATCTCTCTAACACTGGCTATAGTTTTAGTTTATGTTTGTGGACAGTAAAGGAAATCTTTGAATAGTAACTGTCCACTCTGAAACTTCCCCCCCACCTGTTTTTCTTCTGCAGATCCCAAAGTCATTAAGACATACCAAATGGCAGAGACTGGGAAAAGGCAATTCAACACAGTTATTAGATCCTGCAGGGGTAAGATTAAGCGGACACTTCTACTACCTCTAATTAGGGAAAGTACACAAGCCCTTGGAGCAGTTTATGATTAACATGACTATGTTTCCAAATAATTTCACTTTTTCTAAATACCGGGAAGATGAATAAGAAGGTATTTTTCTGCTACTGGAAATGGAGAAAGAACTCCTGATATTTTTCTACCCCTGATGAAAGCTGTCTGAATCTTTCGAGATCAATGCCCACTAGAGTAATGTTTTCAGAAAGCTTCTATAAACGTAATGGCAGCTCATGGACACTTAAATTTATCCTGGTAATTTGTATCTGAAATATAGAATGCTGTAAGTTTATTAAGTGAGTAAAGTTTCTTTACATTAGAAGATACTCAGATAGCAGAATATCAAGGGACTCCAAGCTTATTAAAGCCCTTGGAGTAAGTGATGCTGACTTTACATGTTGATAAGGGTTGTTTTTCGTTGCTAAAGTAAGTGAAAGACACCTTTAAAAATTCCCAGTGCTTTAAAATGAGAAAAGGACTTCTCCAAGATAGAAAAAGACTAGAAAATAAGATGATTACTTAAATGCAGGGTACTTCCATTATTTTTTCTTTCTGATTAAAAATTATTTGCCATTAAGGTACAAGACGTTGTAACTTATGCAGAGGCTGTAGAAATCAATTAGATTTTCCCTTATTAAGTTCAAGTTTTAATTTAAGGGAGAATGTGCTTCATCTTCTTATTGTTCATGATGCCACTAAGTTTATTTATATTTTAATCGATTGCTTTGTTGAAGACCTCATTATCTTGTGTCGTATTCACTGGTCCCCTTAATATAACTTGTTGCTCAGTCTTTTAGAGAGAAAAAAATGTCACAAAGAGACATCTCACACTAAAAATTACCTTTTGATATATTCCCTTTAAAAATGCTTTAAGGTGGTTGATCCAAAACTCAATAACTTAATGGCATTTATAGCATTGCTTTTTGTGTGTTAATAGATGAGAACAAGAAGGCACTTTTGTTTTTTGTGATTCCATTTGCAAAGCTTGGCCCAGAGCTGGTACTGTTAAGACTGTATTAATATACATTTGTGTTTTTAAAGAACTGTGCTCTTGTTCATTAATTACTGATTTTGGCTACTGAAGAGGCATTATTATATCAGTCCATTTCATTATGTATTTTTTAATTGGGAAAACGCTTTAAATATTAGCAAGCCTATATTTTAAACCTAATCTTTATGATGTCCTGTCAACTATATTTTCTCAAATGATTTATCTTTTATATTTGCCTTACCTCAGCAGTATTCTTAAGACCTTTTTAAAAAAATGATAATAAGCAAGATGTTTACATATTTACAAGGCTAGTTGGGAGATTTGTAAGTTAATCCAACAAGCATTGAAACCTACCCTGCCCATGTGCAAGACACTGTAGTATATGCCATGGGAGATACAAGGGTAAAAGACGCTTCCCTAATCTTAAGAATTTACCATGTAATAGGAAAGATAAAACATGTATGCAAATTCCTATAGCATAAGATAGACTGTGAAATATTAAAAAATACTTTGTTTCTAAATATATATGTGAGTCACAATAAGAAAAAGAATCAGTTATGTAAAATCCACTGTATTAAATAGTAAAGCAAAAATGTATATGCATGGAAAGCAAATGGGATATAATTAACTATACAGTATACTTTGCTTGTCAATGATAGAGTAACAGATTACACAGTACTGTAGTAACACATGACATTAAGAAAGCCAGTAGACATCATATGGAAGTGTAATTCAAGTTAAATCTTTTAGACATTAATTTCAAAATTAATTGAGAGAACTATTTAGAGAAAGTAACTTCTGTATGAGTGTCATATCTCATTCTTTGTATGCCATTCTTTGTATAAATGTAAGCTTATTATGCAGGTGTTTTGCTTTGCTAGGCTAAAAGCTATGCCTCTAAATCTGCTTGGGGGACCTTCATTAGATTAGACATAAGTCAGATTTTTAAAGATCTGAAATTTTGTAGTAGTTAACGGATGGCTTGGTATCATTGTCACCTAGGCTCTCCAGGCATGGCCACTGAAAGAAAAGAGGACATGTTGGCATGGTCATGCAGGAGGAGGACTCCACACAGACCCAAAAGAAGGGGTAAGAGCTGATAAACAGTAACTGGAAATGCTTGTAGATGATTGTGCTTGTATAGATACAATCTTGTATAGATATAATCAAGATTATTATGTTTCAGATTGTATAGATACAATCTTGTATAGATATAATCAAGATTATTATGTTTCAGAATATTTTGATTGACTCACACAACTGCAGGTTTTCCAATACTAAACCATATGAAGTGACCATGGTTATATAGATGAGATTTTGTCAGGCTTAAAAACAAACAAAAAATTTCATGATTAACTACAAAAGAAAGAAGTTATCAACCTAAATATTTTAGATCCTTATTTAAAATAGTATTGGTTGAAGTTATTTGTTATATAATCTAGCCTTATTAGGTAAATTAGATTTAGCACTTGCAAGTAACGTGTGTGTGTGTGTGTGTGTGTGTGTGTGTTTTAAGGTTAATGTTTTCCCTTCTATGCACTTATCTTAGAAAGACCCAAGAATGTCCCCTAGCTCCATGGTAAATCCTCCATCTACCTAGTGACTTAGATTTTAAACATCCTGCCTATATAATACTTTCCATTTATTTAATTATCCATATTCTTTATCCTTATCATTATTAATCATTATTATTATCATTATACAGACAAGCTAAACAGTAGAGCCACTGAAATCAAAAGATGTAATTGCACTATACTTTTCTAAATGAGTGAAAATGTCATTGGAATACTGTTACACAATTCTCCATCTGGCCCTCTTTCTCTGAGCTTTCCTTCATTTTCTTCCTTCAACTTGACCCAGCTAGTGTGTGTGTGTGTGTGTATATATATAGATACATACAGTATCTCTAAATAGAAATGATAATTTCAGGATTATTGGCAAGTGAACAAATTCTGTGTAAAAGTACTCTCTAATTATAGAGAGATAAATAGAAATTAGTTATTTTGTTATTTTATTGGTGGCAGGTGATTGTTAAGGAAACGTTTCCAGTGCTTTTCTCCCTGTTTTTTTGATCCTTAGTATAGCTCCTTTCTTTCATGAAACTCAAAACACATCACATTCATATTTCTATCCCATTTTTGTATATTACTATTTTGTATGGTTTTTAAAGACAGCAAAGCATTATAAAATAGAATTTTTAAAACATGAATACAAATACTGAGATTTGTTTATCCTTGTATTAATCTTTGGCATGGTATGTGCCAGCTTTCAGGATTGTCATCTTATGGGTAGTGGCAAATAATGCTCTAAACACAAAAAGAATATGTTGACTAATAAAGGAAAAGCAGTCACTTCTCTTAGAATCAAGCAATATAAACTTCAAGTTAGTTTCTTTATTCTAAAATAAAATAAAACAAAGCAAAAGTCATTGTAACACTTTAAATTTGGTCTCTTCCTTATCCTTCATTCCCTGTCATTTTAGTATTATGTTAACTTCATTAGGTAAATCAAATCCTAGAGAAACGGAGCCTGGAAGCCACGCCTGAGAAGAGGCAGTATGACATTGATTGCTAAGAGCCTGAGCTCTGGAGCCAGACTGCCTAGATTTTAATCTTGGCTCCATCACATCCCGGAGGAATAACTTTGAACAAGTTATTACTTCATTTGTGTGTGCATCAGTTTCTTCATATGTAAAATGGGGATGCTAATCATACCAAAAGGGATTTAAATGAGTAAACTCCTCTGTGTAAAGCTCTTAAAAAGTGCCTGACACATAGTGTTGAGTAAATACTAGCTGCTGTTACTATAATGTGAAGTTGTAAGTCCTATCCTTTACCATTATCCATTCATTTAAAAAGGATGTATTGAATACCAGCTTTGTGCATAACTCTATGTTAAGTACTAGAGATACAATAATGAACAAAAGACCCTGCATCCAGAAACTTAACAGTTTAGATGCAAAATGTCTAAACTACCATGTAGAAATTTTATCACTGACAAATTATAGACTTCACTTATAGCCAACTGAAATCTCTACTGCTTTACTTTTATTCATTTTCACTTGTGTGCTCTTAACAACTATTGATAAGCATTAATAATGCTGCTCAGAGGGTATCTAAATTGTCTATTTATCCAATGTGGCTACACAAAAGGGATTGTGAAAAAAGAGTGGCAGTTTCCATTTTTGGAAACTCCTGTTTAAGTAATTATTTTGTTTTGTAATAGAATCTTCAGATTTTAAAGAATTTTGGAGCTTTATTCCTGCCTTTAAGCTTTTTTATTCAATCTGCTTCTTTTGAGGAAGTATCTATTAATGAATTTACTTAATCTTGTGCTCATAATAAAAACACAAATAATGCAGAACTTAATATAAGAACTACTTTCCAGAATTTTTTTTTGGTATCATTAATATACACTTACATGAACAACACTGTGGTTATTAGCCTACCCCCATTATCAAGTCCTCACCACATACCCCATTACAGTCACTGTCCATCAGCATAATAAGATGCTATAGAATCACTACTTGTCTTCTCTGTGCTATATTGCCTTCCTCATGCCCTTCCCTCTACATTATGTGTGCTAATCATAATGCCCCTTATTCCCCTTATCTCTCCCTTCCCACCCATCCTACCCAGTCCCTTTCCCTTTTGTAACTGTTAGTCCATTTTTGGGTTCTGTGAGTCTGTTGCTGTTTTATTCCTTCAGTATTTTCTTTGTTCTTATACTCCACAGATGAATGAAATCATTTGGTACTTGTCTTTCTCTGCCTGGCTTATTTCACTGAGCATAATACCCTCTAGCTCCACCCATGTTGTTATAAATGGTAGGATTTGTTTTCTTATGGCTGAATAATATTCCATTGTTTATATGTCCCACATCTTCTTTATGCATTCATCTACTGATGGACACTTAGGTTGCTTCCATTTCTTGGCTATTGTAAATAGTGCTGCAATAAACATAGGGGTGCATATGTCTTTTTCAAAATGGGATCCTGCATTCTTAGGGTAAATTCCTAGGAGTGGAATTCCTGGGTCAAATGGTATTTCTATTTTTAGTTTTTTGAGGAACCTCCATACTGCTTTCCACAGTGGTTGAACTAGTTTACATTCCCACTAGCAGTGTAGTAGGGTTCCCCTTTCTCCACATCCTCGCCAACATTTATTGTTTGTCTTTTAGATGTTGGCCATCCTAACTGGTGTGAGGTGATACCTCATTGTGGTTTTAATTTGCATTTCTCTGATGATTAGCGATGAGGAGCATCTTCTCATGTGCCTGCTGGCCATCTGAAGTTCTTCTTTGGAGAAGTGTCTGTTAAGCTCCTCTGCCCATTTTTTAACTGGGTTATTGGCTTTTTGTTTGTTAAGGTGCATGAGCTCTTTGTATATTTTGGATGTCAACTCCTTATTGGATATGTCACTTATGAATATATTCTCCCTTACTGTAGGATGACTTTTTGTTCTACTTTGCTGTACAGAAGCTTTTTAGTTTGATATAGGCTGACTTGTTCATTTTTAATTTTGTTTCCCTTGCCCGGGGAGATATGTTCATAAAGAAGTTGCTCATTTTCATATTTAAGAGAGTTTTGCCTATATTTTCTTCTAAGAGTTTTATGGTTTCATGACTTACATTCAGGTCTTTGATCCATTTTGAGTTTACTTTTGTGTACAGGGTTAGACAGTAATCCAGTTTCATTCTCTTACATTGAAGCTTTTCAGTTTTGCCAACACCATCTGTTGAAGAGACTGTCATTTCCCCATTGTATATCCATGGCTCCCTTATCGTATATTAATTGATCATATATTCTTGGGTTAATATGTGGACTCTCTATTCTGTTCCACTGGTCTGTGGGTCTGTTCTTGTGCCAGTACCAAATTGTCTTGATTACTGTGGCATTGTAGTAGAGCTTGAAGCTGGGAAGCGAGATCCCCCCCTGCTTTATTCCTCTTTCTCAGGATTGCTTTGGCTATTCGGGGTCTTTTGTGGTTCCATAGGAATTTTAGAACTGTTTGTCTAGTTCGGTGAAGAATCCTGTTGGTATTTTGATAGGGATTGCATTGAATCTGTAGATTGCTTTAAGCAGGATGGCCATTTTAACAATATTAATTCTTCCTACCCAAGAGCAAGGATGAATTTCCATTTATTAGTGTCCTCTTTAATTTCTCTTAGGAGTGTCTTATAGTTTTCAGGGTATAGGTGTTTCACTTCCATGGTTAGGTTCATTCCTGGTATTTTATTCTTTTTGATGCAATTGTGAATGGAATTGTTTTCTTGATTTCTCTTTCTGCTAGTTCATCGTTAGTGTACAGGAATGCAACAGATTTATGAGTATTAATTTTGTATACCACAATATTGCTGAATTCAGATATTAGTTCTAGTAATTTTGGAGTGGATTCTTTAGGGTTTTTTATGTACAATATCATGTCATCTGCAAATAGTGACAGTTTGACTTCTTCCTTACCAATCTGGATGTCTTTTATTTCTTTGTGTTGTGTGATTGCCGTAGCTATGACCTCCAGTACTATATTGAATGAAAGCAAGGAGAGTTGGCATCCTTGTCTTCGTCTAGATCTTAGAGGAAAAGCTTTCAGCTTCACACTGTTAAGTATGATGTTGACTGTGGTTTTGTCATATACAGCCTTTATTATATTGAGGTACTTGCCCTCTATACCTATCTTGAGAATTTTTATTATGAATGGATGTTGAATTTTGTCGAATGCTTTTTCAGCATCTATGGAAATGATCCTGTGGGTTTTGTCCTTTTTGTTGATGTGGTAGATGATGTTGATGGATTTTTGTATGTTGTACCATCCTTGCTTCCCTGGGATGAATTGCACTTGGTCATGGTGTATAATCCTCTTGATGTATTTTTGAATTAGGTTTGCTACAGTTTTGTTGATTACTTTTACATCTATGTTCATCAGGGATATTGGTCTGTAGTTTTCCTTTTTTGTGGTGTCTTTGCCTGGTTTTGGTATTATAGTGCTGCTGGATTCATAGAATGAGTTTGGAAGTATTCCCTCCTCTTCTGTTTTTTGGAAAACTTTTAGGAGAATGGGTATTATGTCTTCTCTAAATGTCTGATAAAA